GTAGATTTGTGGAACCTCTTCTATAGAAGAGGTTAGAACTGGCAGGAACCCACCCCTGCTTATAGGGGAATCAGTGCTTGGGGGCAGAACATGTACTGTGTATGTAGAAAACCCAACTTCAATTTTTGGCATGTTCTGATGAAAAGGATCAGTAGCAACTAAAGGGAAAGACCTTTTACTGTTGGAGAGTTTGCTATTCAGGTGGGTGTACTGCAGGATGAGCAAAACCTTCCATAGATTTAGCAAAAACTGGAATTATGCAGTTGCTTGGTCCTCATCTTGCCAAGAAGTTATGGTCCAAGAAGTTGTCAGGATGCTAGTTGTACTCACAATGAATATTACAAAATAGAAAACTTATCACATCCATTATCACCAATTTTGTCTTATAGGCCCAGGCAGCAAGAAGAAAGCTTCAGGACCCTGTGGCCATTTAGGATCTTTGACTGCTCTCAAATATGCTGTGGTTGGTCTCTACTTGCTGGTGTTCCTGATTTTTGTGGGCCTTTTTATCCTAGCAGGTAAGAACCAGACCTATATTGGAGCAGCTGCTTGTCAAAAAAGAGAGTTCCAAACCTTTTTGCAGAGCAGGAGTGATTTGTCTTCTCATTCCTGTCTAGCAAAGAGATTGGCATTGGCTAATAAGAAGGCATTTAAGTTACACTTGGTTTAAGCGTATCGTATAGGAAATTGGAGAAATGGTTGCTGATTCAAATAAATTGGGTAAAAATTGGGTATTTATTATTTCTTAATTATTTTATGCGGCCCCTTCTCCCCTACAAGGTAAATCTGGGAGGTTTGCAAGTTATAAAAATATAAGTAAAACATTAAAACTACACCCATTATGATTTTAAAGCTATATTGAAACCAGAAATCAGATATCATTGGTGGGGATTGAGGGTCTTACCCTGTCAGCCAGCTCCAGAGGCAAACAACCTCCTTGGAGCTCCGGGCCAGTTTTAATACCCTTCCAGAAGCTGGAAGGGAGGGAGCAGTTATCACTGCTGCTGGTAGAGTGTCATTTATTATTTATTTATTTATTTATTTA